GACAACAGCATTTGAATCCACAACAGCCACAGTTATGACAACAAAAACACCAAAAATAGTCACATCGGGACCAACAACATCCTCTACCACAGCTGCATCAACCTTAGTTGTCATAACAGGATCATCGTTTTCTTCAACTGCAATTTCAAATCCTTCTGTTTTAAACACAACCATTTTACCCTCAACATCTAGAGGTACAACTTCTTTTACTCCTACAACAGAGACTGTTCCAGGCAGCACGACTGTTTACGCAACTAGTGTAAGCCCCAGTGTAACCACAACCACAGCTGCTTCTTCATCACCCCTTAATACAACCTCGACACGATGTGTATGCATTGTCAATGGAGCTTCGCATCATGCTGGTAGGTTTCTCTTCAATTTTTTTCACCATTTTATTTTTCTTTAATTCTGAACACATGTTGTTAGGACACCTCCGTTCCTGTTTTAAATTTCAAGTTTAGACCCAGTTAGCCATCGTATAGCAGGTTCTCCCAAAAGCATCCAGGAAAACAGTTGATTGTGAGGAAGATGTGTAGTCCAAAACATAACCCTTGGTACACCTTTACCTTACCCACTTGGCAACAGTCTTTTCAAGGAAAAAATTAGGTTATTTCTAACTATTTTTAGAGTCGTGATGGTAAACCCCAACTACTATAGATAATTCTATTCCTGGGGCCAGAGCAGGTGACATTGTAACTTCAGCTGCATGTTACTGCATGTCTGGCTTTCTGAATGGTCTCCACAAAAACCAACATGGGTTTCATAGGGAATTGGGGAACTTTCTGCACAGTATGTCACTGTATATAGGTCATTAAGTCCCTCAATGTTGTTTTCATCCATTATCTTACCTCAAATTTAGAGTTTTATATTCTCATCTGAAGTTCTTATTTGAATGCATATTGTTCTAAATCCCAGAGCTTTTCATGAAGAAAAAGCATATCAGTCTTTAGTTAGAAATGGACATAACAAAAACTGTTAATTTGACACACACATACGCATCCAGCCTGTCCAGTTGGATACCAGTACAGCGCTTGTTTAATTATCTGTGTTTTGTTTTTGTTTGTTTTTTCACAGGGGACTTTGTGTACAATGTCACTGATGGGTTAGGGTGGTGTTATGCTGCATTTTGCAATGCATCTTGTGAAATTGAGACACAGTCCAGTCCTTGTCCTGTGACACCAAGTGTGCCCACTACTGCACACTCTACAACTACAGTATTCAGCACTACTACAAAGGCCACAATTTCCAGCTCAGTACCTCTGACAACAACTAGTCCTGCCTCCTTTACTTCAAGTACATCAATAACTTCATCTACTCAAAATGTCTGCAATGATGTGTATCCACCGAGACAGGTGTGACATGATTACATATGTTTTTATTATTTATTGAGTGAGGGCAATGTATGGGCTTTTTGTTAAATACCACTTTGGTGCTGGTGTGACACCCTGAACCTGACTGCAATAATAGCTATATCTATTTTTGTCATTTACCACTGTGATGCCTTGGTGAATACCAGTTGAGAGGCTGTAGAGTGTAGATCCACAATAGACCATTTGGTAATTCCAAGTCCATGGTGTTGATTTGCTGATAATAGGCCTACCTTAGTGCACCACTGTGTACAGCCATGCTCTAAGCCAGAGGTTCCCAAAGTGTGGGGCCCACCCCATAGGGGGGGCACAGAGCCATTGCAGGGGGGGCGCGGTATGAAAAGAGAGAAAAAAAAAGAACGTTTGGATACTGCTAGCATAATTGACAGGTTTTTAACGGGGCTTCCATACAAACACAAAGCAGGAGATGAAACATCGCCAAATATGTTTCCAAACCAACTCCCTTCCAAGCCAAAAACTAGAAAACATGGTGAAGCATATCTTCTCTTTGGCTTCACCTGCACAAGTGCCGAGGTAGATCTCCCCGCGCGTTGGGCTCTCCAAATCACGGACAAACAGTATCCTACATTCTTGATTTTTAGTTTACAAACACTTCTTATAATGATTAACTACTCCTGACATTTTGCTCTTTATAAAGTTACAGTGGGATGCAAATAACATCGGGCTGATCCTGCCATGATTTATTCCCCCGGTTCAAATCACAGACAAACAGGATCCCACAGCTGTTTATGTTTTTGAACCCATTTTGCACAGAGAGGCATTTTTTGAAAAATGTATTGATGCAATGTTGAATATTATTACACAGGAAAAAACAACTACATGTAAAATAATCCCGTGACGCCCCTGCCTTTGTAAATGGAGGGACAGCAACTGTGTGTAAAACCTGCAGACAGTCAGATTAACAGTATTTTGTCTCTATCATTCTGCAACTCATCTCATGTAAACAATAACGTGGCCACAGCGTGACGTGAATAAAGGCGCATACCTTTGACGTTGCGTGACGAACAAAAATGGAGTTAAAAGTTAAAAAATCTCAGTTTTCGATGATTTGAAACGCCATTTACGTGTGGACGAAAAGCCCAAACGCATAGAAACAGCTGCGTTTTCAAAAATGGCCCGTGTAGGTGTGGACATAGCGTAAAAGAGTTAGTATGTGAAATCGGACCAGAGTCGAGATGTGAAATAAACAGCAATGGAGTTTGAAAGCAAAATATGAGTCTGTGTGGTGGGAGGATGTGTTTGCGTGTTGGGGGGGGGGGTCTTCTAAAACAAAGGGGGGCCCAGCAAAAACAGTTTGGGAACCACTGCTCTGAGCTGAAAAAAACATATAATGCAGAAATGAAACACAGTGGCTGAATGGAGCAGTGGTTAGCACAGCTGCTTCACAGGATGAATGTTTCTGGTTTGAAAACAACTTGGGGCTCTTTGTTAGCATGTTCTGTACCTGTGGGGGTTCTTTCACATATTAATAATAATCTGGTGACTTCAGCTTTACTGTTACTTCACAGATTTACAAATGTAAAAAGTGGATCAAAAACTTCCAAAAATAAATAAACATATATTTTAGATATGTGCAAAATGCAATAAATTACTAAATAAAAGAGCATATGTCTGGGATAAGAATAATTATAAACCTAAATGAGATTATGACAATTTACTTGAAAGACAGTGTATTTTAAACAAACCCATGATCTCCTAAATCATCTTTTGTTTGTCAATACTTGTTCAGAATGGAGAGTCCTGGGATGCCGGCAACTGCACCACAGCTACGTGCATTAATGGGAAGATTATAACGATGCCAACAGTCTGTCCCACTATGCAGCAGCCCATCTGCACCAATGGACGCAGTGCTGCTAAGATCTCTGATGATGACGGATGCTGCCCTCACTATGAATGTCGATGTAAGCTTAATAATGTATATTATAAATACACAGCAAAATATACACTGTACTTATGGTGTATATAAATACACAATATGAAATCTGTCTCTTTGATATACTGCAGATAATCTTGTGTCAGAGCCTTGAGGCTTGTAAATACATGAAAAGCCACCGCTGATCAATGGCCATGAATACCCTTCATGTTGTTGCTAGTTATTTAGGCTGTTATTGTCTATCGTCTTTTTGTGGCATATTTATTGTTGTGAGTGGGCATGTGTCCATATAGTGAAGTTTTTACATTACTGTGCAATACTCTGTTTTATCTACAGCACTTTGGCCAACCTTGTATTAAATGTTCTTTATAAATGAAATGAGATCAGCCTGCATTCTGACTGTTTAGGCAGATCTATGGTCTTTTGTTAACTTATGACGCTTGTCTATTTTTCCTGTTCCAGTTGTTACTTGACATTTCTATACATGATTCTTTTCACCCTGCAGGTGTGTGCAGTGTCTGGTGTGGATCCCACTACTTAACATTTGATGGAGAATCCTACAATTTCAATGAGAATTGCTCTTACTACCTGGTCAAAGAGATTATTGCTAAATATAACCTGACTGTTGTAGTTAACCGTGATTGTGATCCATCAAGCAGTACATTCTGTCCCAAGGTTCTTACTGTTACATATAAATCTTTCAAAGTGGTTTTGACTCAGCTGATGTCTTCAGGAATATCAACTAATGTGGTAAGCAATAATTCCATTTGACCAAGCGAAAGCTGATCTAATGGTTAATCTTTCAAATGAGTATGATGCTTGTTTCACACTATTTTTTAATGTAAATTGTGTTGTTACCTACAGGTGTTTGTCAATCAGCAAAAGATCTATCCTGCCTATAGCAATTCTGTCCTGCGCATTACTAGCACAGATATAATCACCACATTGGAGTTACAAGACATCAGTGCAAAAATAGTCTATTCAGGCTCTTCATTCAGCATTGACCTTCCCTACTCCCTCTTTGAAGGAAACACAGAGGGACAATGTGGTGAGTTAGAGAATACTTCTCCCAATCTTTAACGCAGGTCTAAACAATGACCATTAATAAGCCAAATATTAATAATAGACAAGATTCCTCGGCCACTTGCAATCAAATTTAACTCTAATCCATATCCAGTCTAGAAGGTGAGACAGCCTCAGCACACTTTGGTTAATAATAATAATAACGGATTGCATTTATATAGCGCTTTTCAAGTCCCTCAAAGCACTTTACACTTCCACTATTCACTCTCACATTCACACACTGGTGGAGGCAGCTACAGTTGTAGCCACAGCTGCCCTGGGACAGACTGACAGAGGCGAGGCTGCCGTATCGCGCCCTCTGGCCTTAGTTGAACTAAGTCTGGAACTAAGCTTCAGTTTCAGACCAATACCAATTCTCTGGTATACTGAAGCCCGTTATAGCTATAGTTTTGTAATTCCTGCTGCATATCATTAAACTCCTCACCTTGTTTTACTGCAGTTCCAGCTGAGAGTCATGATTTTTTTAAACTTCACACATCTAACTAATCCCAAATACCTAGGAGAAATTAAAAATGCAACACAAACAAAGTTATATACTTTTAAAAAAAAGTTTTAGAAACCCCAATTTTTCCAGTTTTTTATTGCAATTCATGTCGTTCGGGTCCAATGAATTGCTTGAAATGGTACAAAGGTAAGTGGTGAACTGCCAGAGGTTAAAAAAACGTAAGGTTACTCAAAACTGAAAAATGACGTCCATTTCAGAATTATCCAAAAAGGCCCTTTTCAGGGAACAGAACATGAGTTAACAATTTAAAGCTGTTCTGCAAAGCTGGTGCTACTAATTCCTACAGGTGTTCCAACTTTTCTGGAATACTTACAACCCCCTCTGTCTGCATAAAAGCAGTGTTGGAATACACTGTGGTACGAAACCCTCGTCAGCATCAGTTGAACAATATTGTACTGCAGAAAGTAGTGGGTTGCTACAAAAAATGCAATTAACAATGGAAGAGACAGACCATCTTAACACTAAAAAGGTTAGGTCTTTTATCTACAGAGAAATTAGGAAGAATGTCAAGGTGTCAGTGAGTACAGTTTCCTTCACCATCAAAAGGCACTCAGAAACAAACTCTGGCAGGAAGAGGTCTGGCAGACCCAAAGCCACAAATGAATCAGAGTTTCGGAGAGTTAACAGCTTGTGTGATCGGCGGCTCGCAGGACAACAGCTTCAAGCACAGCCTAATAGTGGTCGTGGTAAAGAAGTCCCAGTTTCAACTGTGAAGAGAAGACTTTGAGCTTGCAGCAAGAAAGCCATCGCTAAGATGCCAGAATAAGACAAAGAGGCTTGTCTGGGCCATTAACAACTGCTGTTGGACTACTGAAGACTGGAAGAAGGTATTTTGGACTGATGAATCCAAATTTGAAATCTTTGGTTCATCATGCAGCATCTTTGTATGCTGTTGAGCATACACCACAGTCTCCAGACTTAAACCCCATCGAGCTGGTTTGGGATGAACTGGACAGAAGAGACAAAGCAAAGCAACCAAGCAGTGCCTCATTTATGGGAAGAACTTCTGAACAATATTTGATTTCTATTGTAGAAAGAGTGCCACAGGGGTGTCCAGCTGTTCTGACTGGACAAAGTCAAAAGTTTAGTACATTTTGGTCATTTTGTACTATGCTTTAATTTCAGAGTGCAGTGAGACATTAAACTGCATAATTTTCAATAAAAAACTGGAAAAATTGGGGTATTCTAAAACGTTTGATCTGTAGTGGGTATAAAACATTTTGATTGCCGCTAAAAATTATGTTTCTTCTGAAATGTTAACTAATTTCCTATTTAAAGAAATATCTGTACATGTCTTGAACAAACTGTAAATTTAATTAGAGTGAAGCTTAGATAAGAAAAAGAAGTATGTAAGTATGCAGGTATGCCTACATAACTTTGATATTGATCATATAATAAGTGTCTTTCTTAGGCTATTGCTCAGGCTTCATTCTGCTGCTTTTCCTTTACTAGGTACCTGTGACAACTCCCAGAGCAATGAATGCCGTTCTCCAAATGGCCAGGTGGGAAGTTGCTCAGACACTGCAGGCGAGTGGCAGGTCCCACATACACCCTGTGTTATCCCCACAACCCCACCAACACCCAGAACCACATCAAAGCCCCCACACTCAACACCACCTGTTTGTGAACCTGCTGTCTGTGATCTACTAACTACCAGGTAAAGAGAACCACAAACTGTTCAGCAAACTCGTTATACTTTTCATTTTGGTAGATAGAAAAATGTACTTATTCTGCACATGTAGAACAGAATGATTTGGGGAATGTGGTATAATGGTATTTTCTTTCCAGTTTGATTGTCAAGTTGACAGACTGTGAAGGAGCGCTGCAAATATCCTAAATCAATACTATGTATCATAAAGTGGCAGAGCATACAGATGAAGATGAAACTGAGACAGTACTGAATGACTTAGCCAAGTTCTGTTCCTAGTAAACAGTTCTCCAGTCATCCATTCCAATCTGATCTATTAAATAGATACAATTTGCCTCAGAGTGACGCTGAAAAACTAGTTCATGCATTTATTACTTCCAGGCTGGACGACTGTAATTCATTATTATCAGGAAGTCCTAAAAACTCCCTGAAAAGCCTTCAGCTGATCCAAAATGCTGCAGCAAGAGTACTGACAGGGACTAGAAAGAGAGCAGATTTCTCATGTTTTGGCTTCCTGTTAAATCCAGAATTAAAATCCTGCTCCTCACATACAAGGTCTTAAATAATCAGGCCCCCTCTTATCTTAATGACCTTGTAGCACCATATCACCCTATTAGAGCACTTTGCTCTCGCTCTGCAGGCCTACTTGTTGTTCCTAGAGTATTTAAAAGTAGAATGGGAGGCAGAGCCTTCAGTTTTCAGGCCCCTCTTCTGTGGAACCAGCTTCCAGTTTGGATTCAGGAGACAGACACTATCTCTACTTTCAAGATTAGGCTTCAAACTTTCCTTTTTGCTAAAGCATATAGTTAGGGCTGGACCAGGTGACCCTGAATCCTCCCTTAGTTATGCTGCAATAGACGTAGGCTGCCGGGGATTCCCATGATGCATTGTGTATTTCTTCTTCAGTTACCTTCCTCACTCTCTAAAAAAGTTCCACAAATTCATCAATTCTAGATGAAATAACTTTTACCATATTTTGTTTCTGTGTGCACATAAAATAATGTCAGCATCAAAAATTAAACCAGGATATTTGGAAAAGCTGCCTTACTCTGTTTAACAGCATTAGGGAAATACTTAATGGGAGGAGCTTTTATAATCTATAACTGGTTATTGATATAACTGAAATTAACACAAAAAGGAAGGACATGGTATTTCTTTGTCGTACCACTGCTTCTTGCCAATAAATAAAGTTTAAGACTCTTCTCAAAACATATTTATTCATTGAAGCCTTTGTTTAAGGGGATTGACTCAATTTGTTTGAACATGTTTTATTTTATTTTAGTTATTTATTTCATTTTAGCTTATTTTATCTTATTTTAATTTTATTTTTACTTTGCTTATGCTATTTGCATATGTACAGCACTTTGTGAACTCTGGTTTTATGTTAAAGTGCTTTATAAATATAGATGGTATGGTATAAATCATAATGTTTTAGAGCCTGTTTATTTCCCCTTAAATGGAGCCACTGACTTTAGTGTATGCGCCCATGAAAAACTTGCCAAATCTTCTCTACAAATGCCTTACAGCAAACTCTATTGACTGGTTTTGAGCTTCTGGTTACCTTATTGGTGCTTGATCAAAAACAACTGTGAGCATGGACCCTGCTACAGTGGTTTGTAGAGTTTTAGTACCATCTCCAAATTGAAGGCCAAGCTTTATAAAATGGTACCACATTTGTGGCAGAGCAGCAGTCTGGGTGGTTGTAGCTCAGGAGGTAGAGCGGGTCAACTCCTAATTGAAAGTTAGGTGGTTTGATCCCTGGCTCCTCCAGTCTCTATGCCAAATATCCTCAGGTAACATATTGACCTCAAGTTGCTCACTGATGCATCCATCAGATGCAGTGAATGTTAGATTGAAAACACTTAACACACATAGGAAAAAAAGTGCTTGTCTGGATGAGGGGTGTTGTACATTATGAGGCACGAGTGCTTAGGTAGAGTAGACAAGCACTGTCCATTCCACTCACCAATTTTGTTTTTGTTTTGGTAAAAGCACTATCCAGTCCTTTTACCAAAAACAAAAACAAAGAAATAATTGACCGAACACTAGTTTCTTCACTTTTTGTACGAAGTTTATAAGCTAAGCGATAGCACTGAGACAAGTAACTGGCCTATTACATATATGGATGTTTTTAGTCATTATATGATGTATGAATGTTTGTACACATTTTGTGAATAATCATTTTCCTGATACACTCTGGCTTGTATGTCTTCTAGTTTATTTGCACCATGCCACAAAGTTGTACCTCCAGGACCATTTGTGACATCATGTGTCTTTGACACTTGCAATCTTGGCAAAAACAGCTGCTGCAGTCTGGAGGCTTATGCCACTGAATGTTCTAATGAAGGAATCTGTATTGATTGGAGAAATGCTACCAATGGGCTCTGTGGTGAGATATACATATTATATCCATACAGTTGATGGTGCATAACACTACGGTTTTTGCAGTTCTGAACAATGTGCTCTTAACATACTTCCATCTTTCAGAGCACAAGTGTCCAAGCAACAAAGTGTACATGCCCTGTGGTCCATCCGTAGAGCCTACATGCAATAACGGGTAGCGTAAACCATATCAGTGTGAAGAACTTTTGTTTGTTTAATGATCCTGATGAATTTAGTGATGTGTATTTTCTGGGGG